AGCCTGCACGAGGAGATCTGGCTGCGCCGCCCACCTGGCTTCACTGGGTCTTTTCCTCCTGGGAACCGACTCGTCAAAGGTGACGTCCTGGGAGGACAGAACACGGCGCGAGGTGGGGTGGTAGAACTGCCAGCCCGGTGCGTCAGGGGGGAAGCCAAGGAAGACGCAGGGAACAGCACGAGGGGACAGCTTGTCCGCAGAAAAGTCGCGGACAAACGCCCGAGATCCCCAGACACGGAACGCAGACGCATCGCCAACCTTCCCCGTCCACAGCAAAGCAGGGGAGGTCTCCGGCATGGAGACCCGGGGCTGAAGGTTGATCTGATGCGCCGCGTACCGAACCGCAAACGGCCACAGAAAATGGGGGGCAGCCGCATGGACCATGGACGTACGAGCGACGTCCATGACCATGCCAATGCGGCGCTCAGCAATCCCATTTTGCTGCGGGGAGTCCGGAAGCGTGAAGGTCTGGCGGATGCCTCGTGCACGACAGAAGGCTCGCAGAAGGTCAGAGGAGAACTCTCCACCTCTGTCAGAGTGCAGACGCAGAACAGGAAAGTCCGAGCCGAAACTCTCTCTGAGCTGGAGACGAGCTGCACGGATCCAGGCGATCAACACCTCAGTGACCTCACCCTTGCTGCGCAAGGGGAAGACTGCGGTGTAACGCGAGTAGTCGTCAACCACCAGGAGGAAGTAACGCTCGTGACCCTGTCCACGGACGCGGGCTGGGCCCCACACGTCCATGTGAAGCGTCTGCAGCGGAGCCTCTGTCGGAGGAAACTCGGAGGAGTGAGGAGCAGCGCGCTGCCGCCCCTCGACGCAGGGAACGCAGGTGGGGGCAGGCCCCGGAGGAAGGGGAGGGAGGGACCGGGGGAGACCAGAGACAAGGACACGGGAGGCCATGCCTCGAAGATGAGGCAGGGAGGGGTGACCAAGGCGGTGGTGCCAGAGGAGAGTCTGGTGAGACAGGAGATGACACGAGCAGGGGGCAGACTCAGGACTAGTCCTGGACGCCGCAGCAAACACCTGACCCGACGCGGCTACCTGAGCAGACTCAGCAACCGGAGGAGACTAAGTAGTCAGTGTGTACAGGCTCGACCCCGGCTGACGGGTAAACGTGGCCAAGTGACGGCCCGTCCGAGCACAGGTACAGTGGGTCACTCGCTGACTCGCAGGAGTGAACTGGTGAACCCCTCCATCCTGGAGGTCAGCACCACTCACCAAGTTCGTAGAGAACGAGGGGAGGTAAAGACCCGACAGGGTGCCAGAAGGGGCCGCCGGACACGGTAGAACAGTGGAGAAGTGGGCAAGGACAGGACCCCCAGAGGGGTCTGCCAGGGAGACTGCCACTGGCCGACTAAGCGGCGTAAGCGTGGTGCGGTCTCGAAAGAAGGAGCGGGAAGCACCCGAGTCAAGGGTGAAGGTGTGGGTGGCCGGAGCCGACGCGGTACCTGAGAGCGCAGACTCACCAGCACCTGGGGCAGCAGGCTCACTGGCACCTAGAGCAGCAGCCTCACCAGCACCTAGAGCAGCAGCCTCAATGCCCGGGTCAGGCGGAAAACACCGGTAACAGTCACCCTCATCACTAATAGTCACAGCATACATCGCAGCAAGAATAGCATCATAATCAAGATCAAAGATCGCAACACCCGCCCTAAACAGCTCGCCCCAGCGAGGGATCTCAGTAGCGTCGGGGAACTGGTGACGCCAAGCGTCCGTCAGGCGGCCGAAGCAGCGCTGGGTGGAGTGCAGACCCCCACACTGCTCACCCGTGCGGTCGCCTGTACGTAGAACGTAGGTACAGGGGCCAGCACCCCAACCCCGCTGACGAGCAGTGTACCACTCACGAAGCTGCTGGGGGGAAGGGGTCTCACGAGTGCGCTGCTGCTGCTGCTGCTGGCGCTGACCACCACCGGAGCCGACCCGCTGCGAAGAGCCGCCCCGACCAGCTCCACCTCCGCTGCCGCTACCTCCACCACCGCCTCCACCTCCACCACCTCCGCTCGCACCGCCACCGCCGCCGCCTCCTCCGCCTCCACTTCCGCCACTAGTGCCCCCACCCCCGCCACCACTCCCACCGCCACCCCCACCCCCTCCGCCGCCTCCACCGCCTCCTCCACCGCCCCCGCCAGCTCCTCCAGCGCCCTTGCCCCCCTTGCCCTTGCGTGAGCGGCGTCTTCCGCTAGGGGCAGACGCCGCGCCGACCGACTCAAGACAAACGAGGTCGGCCGCAGCAGCAGAGGCAACAGAGGGCAAGAGGGGGGAGGGGGAGCACCCCTCAAAGACAGGGGTACGAGGGTCACCACGAGAGGCTCCTACAGCGACTATACTCTTTTCTACTGCTAGGAGGCACTCCTCGAGGAGGTCAACGGTGAGGGTGGTGGGGCAAACAGAGAGGAAGTGGTCCCTGACCGAGTGAAGGGTGTCAGGGAGCCGGGTGACTATGTAGTAGAGGGTGATGTACATAGGGGGGGGGTTCTTGGCGCAGAACTCAGCAGGAAGCGCAGCGCGGTAGCGAATGTCACTAGTGCGAAGGTGCGTAATGAGGTCAGCGACTGTGGGAAAAGCGGCGAGGTCAGGGAAGAGGTACGGCAGTATGAGACGGCTAAGGGCAGCAGTGGCAGGGGAAGAGTAGCGTGCAACGACAGCGTCGTACAAGGTCTTAGCACTCTTGTACTGACTAAAATGCGCGTGCTCAGCGGTCGGTAAGTGGCGGCGCACAGCAACGCGAGCAGCAGCATCGCGCGTGGCCCACTGTGAGCGAACAGTGGCGTCAGCATCAGCAGCAGGGGCAGGAGAGGCACCAGAGGTGAGGTCAAACAGAGAGAGACCGTCTGCCCTATCGCACTGTAGGAAAAGCTGCAGATCATCTACCCAGACCTCAAAGTCAACAGCCCGACCCTCAGTGTCAAAGGTGAGAACACTGGGGGTGGCCATGACAGCAGTAGACTGGCAGAGAGAGCAGCGGGGTAGGGCAGTGCAGTGGCAGAGGCGCTGCTCTTACCAGGCAGGTGGTGCGGGCCGAGGCAGGCCGGCAGGGACAGGGCCGCGACGGAGGGGACTGCGGCGTCTCGGCTGCGGTGGTGTGGCGGCTCGGCGGCTCGGCGACTCGGCGGCTCGGCTGCAGGGCGGCTCGGCGGCTCGGCAGCTCGGGGGCTCGGCGGCTCGGCAGCTCGGCGGCTCGGCGGCTCGGCAGCTCGGCGGCACAGCGGCAAGGGCGGCTCGGCGGCTCCGCGGCTCGGCGGTGACGGCGGCTCGGCTGCTGGACGGGGCCGGGAAGGGCGGCTGAGGGGCCGAGGAAGGGCGGCAGGGCCGCGAAGGGCGGCGACGGGGCCGCAAGGGGCGGCAACGAGGCCGCTAGGGGCGGCGACGGGGCCTTAAGGGGCGGCGACGGGGCCTTAAGGGGCGGCGACGGGGCCGTAAGGGGCGGTCGCGGGGCCGTGAGGGGTGGCGACGGGGCCGTAAGGGGCGGTCGCGGGGCCGTGAGGGGCGGCGACGGGGCCGTAAGGGGCGGCGACGAGGCCGTAAGGGGCGGCGACGGGGCCTTAAGGGGCGGCGACGGGGCCGTAAGGGGCGGTCGCGGGGCCGTGAGGGGCGGCGACGGGGCCGTAAGGGGCGGTCGCGGGGCCGTGAGGGGCGGCGACGGGGCCGTAAGGGGCGATCGCGGGGCCGTGAGGGGCGGCGACGGGGCCGTAAGGGGCGGTCGCGGGGCCGTGAGGGGCGGCGACGGGCCTAGAGAGGGCAGCGACGGGGCCTGAGGGGCGGGACACTAGGCGCGCTTCGGGCAGGGGCGGCACGCGCCCCGGGTAGGAAAAAAAATCTTGGTGGGCCCTAGGAACAGTTCCCACGAGGGAACCTGCTCGATACCATGAGAAACTTAGAACGAGAATGAATTGACTAAGGAATGAAAGTGATACAAATGTGAAACCCTAGAATTGTGTACCCCTTAGTATCTAACCCGCTACAGCCTACACAGGCTAGATCATATAAGTTTGACAAAGTGCCCAGGAACCGCTTCCTCGAGCCTACGGTCTGCTCGGAAACCAGCTTCCCCTTGCGCGACATCATGCCCGGTCCTTTGAACGGAGCTTTGCAGCCTCTCGTCTTGCCTTGGTCGTCCGGCGGAGGAGGTGGGGCGTAGCCGATCACCTTGGGCTTCTTTGACTTTTCGTGTCGAGCAACAACGACGGTAGACGCCATCTCGACGTCACTGCTCTCTGTTGCCTCTGCAGCCCGCTTCGTCGACTTCGTCACAGCCAGCCTTTTCTTCGACGCAGAAGGGGACCTTGGCCTCGGACCAGGAGGAGGGGAACCCGGTTCGCTAAGGGAGACGTCGCCTAAAACGGACGACGGCCTCTTTCCCACTGGCTCGACAGGACGGCCAGCAATGCCGAGCTACGCAGCTGAGTCCGCCTTTGTCTTCCACAGCAACCCAGCAGCGACGGCGACCTGGCTGGGAGCACCCCGTTTCTCCCCCGCTCCTTTCCCCGCAGCGTCGCCGGACGGGGTAGGGGCACCTCGCTTTTCCACGGCTCCTTTCCCGGCTGAGGCGACCTGGTCGATTAGGGCACCACTTTTCTCCCCGGCAACCACTCCTTTCCCACCCTTTTTCCCGAGGCCCTGCAGCATGTCCCGCAGCGGAGCAAAAGCATCAGGCGGAGGCTTCGGTGCCGCTTCGGAGGTCTGCTGACGGGGCGATTGGTCGAGTACGATGACATCCTTGTCCTCGACGGACTTGCCGACGGTCTGACGGACACGCGACGGTGGGGATGCTACCGGGCTGCCGACATGTCCTTCCACCGAAGAAGAAGGAGGAACCGAGCGCTCATGAACTCGACGCTCAACCCCGCTGCGAACACCAGCCACCCCCTCCTCCTGACGCTACCTCGTCGACGGGCCCGCCGAGCCCCGAAACCCTCTCGCCATCGCTTCGGTGAGGACTTCCAATCTGCCAGCTTCAGCTTCTTGGTAGCTTTCTCTCACAACGTCCTTCAGCTCCTTCATGCTCTCGGGCGGAAGGGGGAGTAGAACAAGTCCTCCTTGACGGCTTTCTCAATACCCTCCACGACCGAAGCAACCAGACGCTCCTCGACAAGCTTGAGCTGCTTCTTGACGGCGTCCTTGCTCGCTTTTGTGATAGCGGCTGCCACCCCCTTGATGATTTTCCTGCTCATCTCGTCGAGCTTCGAGCGTGCCCCTTCCAACAACTTCCTCTCCTCCGTGACACCATTTACGGCATCGCCGCACTGCTTCAACTCCCTCTTCGACGACTCCGAAATCATATTCCAGGCCGTCCAAAAATCCCCAGCAAGCTTGTTGAAAACAGCGGCTTGCTCACTGTGCTTCGCAAATTCGTCGGCGACGAGCTTCTTCTGCGACGCCTCGACCTCCGCGACTCTCTGCAGTAGCTCGACGACCTGGTCCCCGGATGCAATGGCCGACGTCGAATGGCCTGCCGTCGAAGGGCCAGCCTGTCCGCTGCCACTGGCCGTGCGGTGTCTCCTTCTTACTTCGACGAGTCGCTCCTGCACAGCCTCCCCGCCCTCCTGCTCCTGCCCTCCCGCTCCACCCTCCTGCGCAGCCACCACGCCCTCCTGCTGCTGCCCTCCGACCCCACCCTCCTGCGCAGCCGCCCCGCCCTCCTGCTGCTGCACTTCTGTCCCAAAATCCTGCCCAGCCGCTCCGCCCTCCTGCTCTTCGACATCCCAATCGTCCCCCGTCGCCTGCTGCTCGTCCACCCGCTCCCCGAGCGCCACTCCGTGCTTCTCCGTACGCTCCGTCCAACCTGGATGTAACCCTAAACCCTCGCCGTCGTGCTCGATCGACTCATCGCTCGAGCTCGAGCCGGAGCTCGATTCCGAGCTCGAGCCCTCCGGCTCGTCCGCATTGCCGCCTGGGCCGCTCACCCCGTGCTGAGCTTGTCTCGATGTATCCTCCTCGATCTCCTCCTCCTCCTCGTAGCTGTACCCAACCACGACGCGTGGCGCCCCCTTGCCTCCTCCCTCGTGTCTGGCACCCCCTCCCACTCCTACTCCCTCCGCCGCCTCGTCCATCCTTTTCCAAAACAGTTTGAGCATGAACGACGGAAGCAAACACGGGCCAGGGCTCGTTCTCCCGAGCATCACGAGGTCGCCCTGTCGAGGCTGCAGGATGAAATTGTCCCAGTTCGACAGAATCCGGCGCACCCCATGCACGACACGAGCTGCCGCGCCGGGTTCACTGGGGCTCGTCAGGGCCGTCGTTGTCTGCGACGGGTATAAAACACACGTAAGCGACAGAACAAACATGCTCGACGAAAACATGCACGGGTAAGGGTAAGGGTTGGCTTACCAGATGATAGAAACTCGTGATCATGTCTGGACGCAGGTCGATGAGGCTAAGCACCTCCTGCTCGTGCTCGGTCACAACCCGCTGGGTCGTCGCGTACTCAGCGCGAAGCTGCTTCTTCATCCAACTGCAAAGCAACGGACAGGAGAGTAAGAGATTGGCAAGAACGGCAAGTCGACAGCAGGGTGGCAAATCGGTCAGTCACACCAACGAAGATTGGTGGTTCACCGCGGGAAACCTGTCTTTCGAATCGAAGTGCATCATTCAAGTTCGATAGCCATGGTGCCTCGGAGCCAGCAGATCGTCGGGGCGCGATACCACAAACAGGCTCGAGTGGGAGAACGACGCCACAGTCAGGCTGCATGCATGCAGAGCGAATGCACGTGAGCACGGGTTTAGTACTAAACACGGAGCACGCAAGGCGACGGGATAGTGTCGAACTCACGTGGTCCGCAGCAGAACGAGAATCACTTGCTTGCCGAGCAGGCCGTCGAGGTAGTTGTTCGCAAAAGCGACCGGTGTGGGACGCGCCATCTCTTCATGCGCACGCGTCGAAGTCACGATCGACAGCTTGGCGAGCTGCTCGACGGACAGCAGCTCCCTCGAAAACAGGTTGCACGGAAAGCTAAGGCACAGTCAGCGACAGGTAAACATGGCAAACCTAAAGTGCTCGACAGGAAACGTACACAACGCCCGCGTTCATCATCGTCTCGTCGAGCTCCGCCTTCGGCGCCTCGCTAAGCGCATTCAACTGGTCTTCGAACACCTCCACCTCGATCCCGCCTGCGGTTAGGATGAGGCCGCGTCGAACCGTCGGCTCGTTCACGACGGGTAGGGAGGCGGGGCCCGTAGCCATGACAGGCCTAGCAGTAGGGAGGGCAGGAGCGCAGGGAAGTTGGGAACTAGGGAGTAGGGAAGAAAAACTCGGAGACTGCAACGAAATGAGAACGCACTCAGGATATTTGCTGTGTTTGCCATCCCCTCCACCGAGACAGACCTGGGTGCAAGGGCGACGAGGCAGGGCGCGTTCCGCGACGGCGGTAGGAGGAGTTTATGGCAGAGGGCGGCGGGGCCCTGTATTACTGGTTGCTTGCATGAGGTGGGGCGCCCTGCATGCAGCTTAAAGGCCCCTCTCAAGGAGCGGGAGGGGGCGTTCGACACGTCACAGCGGTCGAGCGCCAACCGAAACGGGCCCCGTCGAGGGCGAAAGCGGTGGAGCGCGGCGCAGATGGGCGTCGCTTCCGTCCGCTCGCGAGAATTCGCGGACGGGTTCTGTCGGCGAGGCGACGCCCGGCGAGGGTTCCTTTGGGTTACCGGACGTAACCCGTCTACGAACCGAGGTTGGGGATGGGTTCGGTTGGGGGGGACCGCTGGCAGCTGGCGCCAGCTGGGGGTGCCCGTTTTCGGGCCGGGGGGGGGGGGGGGTCGGCTCCCACCCCTCGCGTGCTTCGCTAGGCGACTGCGGGAAAAACGAAATCCCTCCGGGGAAATCCCGCAGGGGCAAAGGGGGGGGATCGGAGGGATCTCGCAGATATCCTCCCCCCTCGCGTGCCCCGCTAGGCGACTGCGGGAAAAACGAAATCCCTCCGGGGAAATCCCGCAGGGGCAAAGGGGGGGGATCGGAGGGATCTCGCAGATATCCTCCCCCCTCGCGTGCCCCGCTAGGCGACTGCGGGAAAAACGAAATCCCTCCGGGGAAATCCCGCAGGGGCAAAGGGGGGGGATCGGAGGGATTCGGGTGACATCTTCCCACTTATTGAAGCCCCTTCGCAGGTGCTAGGGTCGTGAATGCGGAACATGATTGGTTGTGCACCCAATCCCGTGGGCTACTCTTGTGGCTGAGGGGTAGGATGATGCTTAGATCGTACCACACGTGGTCTTTCCGCGTTAGCGTGGCAGCGTTCGTCATCGTCAGATGCGATTTCCGATGTGTGGCCTCCTTCGTCGCTGGAGATCGATAGCCAACCGAAGCGCGAATGTCGGACATCAAGAAGTTTCCCTGGCGACTGTGACGACGAACACAAATGCGGAAAATTGTTCCGCGATATCTGCAAAGTGTCGCATGGATGGAGTTTTGCCACGTCAATGCCTGCCATTGTGACAGGAGCGGCCAGAAGATCATTGGACCAGATCTACACCTGCCATCATTGCCTCCACCACACTGAAAACATCTTCCCGCTTGCTTGGGCTCTCGTCGCACCACCGACCACATCAATTCGGTCATTTTGCAGGAGCAACCGTTATCTGGAACTGGCAGCCGTTATCTTGAACTGGAAATAGAAATATGCATCGGCGGATAAGGCTTCCTGTTCGCGGTCGCAGATTGCAGATGCCGGTTTGCATGTCGTAGACCGCCTGCCACTCTGCTCATGGTCGTACTCGTTCGTCACATCCAAATGGTCGCAACGCCTGCTACTTCCCTTGTTGCGGACGAAATGGCGCTTCTGCCGCCCCTTCCCCGCATTCCGCCCGCGTCTCCCTCCCTCCGCTTTTCGCTTCTTCTCTCCACTCCAATTCTCCCCCCCTATTCCTTCCCCAAACTCCCCCGCGCACGCGCACCTTCAGTTTCCGATCTGCTCTGCATTGGTTCCTCTGCTCGTTCTCTCTGCTCGTTCAGTGTAGCTGGTCTGCTCTTTCGACTTCTCAACAACCCTCCTCATCTTCTCGAAACCACCTCTTCCTACTTCCAAAAGGCGACACAACTCGTCAGACCTGCATTCCACTAGTTTTCGTGCTCTGCTGGCCTGCTATAAACCAAAAATCCAGCTGCATTCTTTTTCTCGTTGCTCACTTTTCCGTTCAGGTCGCCCTGTCGTTTGGCTCACATCTGCCACTTTCACAGCAGACTGCCGGAGAAACTTTCTGTCATCAAAACGTTGTTATTGACAGACAAGGAATTAGCCTTATTTTCCTCTCGTCTATACTCCTGCCTTTCGCTCGTTGACTGTTCTCTCCGCTCCCTATCGCAATTACGATGGCGAGAGTCGCTGTATTCCGTTTTACTCCTCGAGACGCAGTAGCGAGAACCGCAGTCGTCGGATGCGCGAACGCGAAGGCGAACGCGAGCCTATCGACCACCAAATCTAGCACCTCTCGCGCTCACGCTCGCCTACCTTGCGCCGTGTCGCCGTCATGCCACTCCGTCTGTCGCCTCGAGTCGCAGTTTCTCGCCACGCGAATCTTCCCGTCGCCGGGATCCGGGTCCGCGTTTGACGCGTCGACGTGGTCCTCCTCTTGTCGCCGCTGCGTCAAGGTGGCGGCGCGAATCGCCCCGCCGGAGCGCCCCGCCGCGACGCCGCCGAGCGAGGAGCGGGGTGCGCGGCCACCGAACGACGGCGACGCGTGGGAGCGGCTCGAGAAGGCGAACGGGGCGTCGGTGCGCCGGGAGGAGGAGGAGCAGGCGCGCGAGAAGCGGGGGAGGCAGCGGAAGGAGCGCCACGTCAGCATGGTGGTTAAGGTGTGCGGCGAAGACACAGAGCCGTCGATCAAGTGCGCGAAGGTGCACGATCATCCGACGCTCGTGCTCATGCGGCACGGCGAGAGCATGTGGAACGACCTGAAGTTGTTTACGGGGTGAGTGGCGCTTTGATGTATGTCTGCTTCGTGTGAGTTAACTCCAGACGGGAGGTTATTTTGTCTGAGCGCCCGACTGCGTCTCTGTATCCCGCTTCATGGTTGCGACTAATTTCTGTTACCCTCCCGAAACCTTCTTTTGCCACGTCACAGTGACGTGGACATTCCGTTGACGGAGCGCGGCGTGATGGAGGCCATGGCGGGCGGGCGGTCCGTGGCGGAGATCGACTTCGACATGATCTTCACGAGCCGCCTCGTGCGCTCCAAGCAGACGGCGCTGCTCGCCATGACGCAGGTGAGCGTCGCACGTCGCACGCGAGCGTCGCATGCCGCAGGTGAGTGTCGACGTCGCAGGTGAGCGTCGCACGTCGCATGTGAACGTCGCATGTCGCAGTTGAGCGTCGCATGTCGCAGTTGCAGTCTGTTGTCGCGACTAGCTTTGAGGCGCCTCAAAATTCGATCCTAAAGCACGTCTGTTCCTTCCTTTCCCATCGGCCCTCGTGACTCCCTTTGACAGAGCGTCCACAAGGCGGTGCCGGTGATTGTGCGCGGCGGCTACTACGGGCGCGGCAAGACGGGCGACGAAAACCGCCTGCGGCTGCGCGAGGCGGCGGCACAGGCGCTCAAGCAGGCGGCGTGCCGCATGATCCCCGTCTACGCCGACCCGCGCCTCAACGAGCGCTGCTACGGTGATTTGCAGGTGAGCGACGGAATTCGTTTTCTTTCATATTTCAGGGAAAATAACGCCTTGTCCGGTGAATTCCCTTTCTTCTGTGAATGGTCTTGACTCGCCCTCTTTCGCCATTGTTCCATACCCATCCCCCACTTGCTCAGGGGTTGAACAAGGAGGCAGCAGCGAAGGAATTCGGGCACGAACAGGTGGCGATCTGGCGGAGGAGCCACGACACACGCCCGCCCAAGGGGGAGAGCCTGCTGGTGAGTTGCTGTACTCGATATAGAGTGATGCATCGAGCACGGTAGGAGTTTGGGCACGAGCAGGTGGCGACTGGCGGAGGAGCCACGACACACGCCCGCCCAAGGGGGAGAGCCTGCTGGTGAGTGCTGGTGCTTCGGTGCTGTACCCAGTGGAGGCAGGTGTTAGAGCACGAATAGGAGGGTGGCCATTTGGCGGAGGAGTCCCGAGTCGTCACCGCTCCTGTCTGTGCACGTTCGCGCT